TTACTTTTGCAATACTTGCATTAAGGAAGTTTTCTGTGCTTCCAATGTCAATCAGTGCTGTTTGTTAGCCATGATTTCTATCGTTGTAGTTGATAAGCAGCCAAGTATATCCAATGATGCCAAACAAGATACCATTTTGCTTCCCCTTTTTTCTTACTTTAGCCAATGTTCCTGTTTTTTTTTTTTTTTTTTTTTTTTTTTTTTTTTTTTTTTTTTTTTTTTTTGCATGTATAGCAAGTGTCCCTTCTAGCAGGGCATAATGACCTTGTGTGTCTCTTGCCCCACAGCTGTATTTAGTTAAGGTTGATATTTTCAGAGAACCTAGGGTTTCATATGGCAGAGGGATACATAGAGAGATTTCTGACTTTACTGCAAATATATTGTAATTTTTAGCATTTTGTCCTGATAAATCTAATGCTCTTGCCTGCTCATAGGCCTGTTGTATTGTAAAGGTACAGTTTTTGATTATTCTTTGTCAGATATCCATGGACTGTAGCCCATTTATGAAAGCATCTCATATCAATTCGGCTCAATATTATTCTGCTGATACCAAAGATAATGAACAGTCTTTAATTTTATTAAGGTTTGTTAAAATTCATCAATGGAATCTGAGAGTAGTTGATGCCTTGTAGCCAGTAAGGGTCTAGAGACTATTTTGTTTTTCTTTAGATCCTGTCCAGTATTGTTAAAACCTCTTCATAGGAAGAAGCATCTGCAAAATACTCATAAACTAGTGTTGAGACAAATTTGGGGAGATAGTGGAGCTAATTAGAACTTTGGTTGCAGTGTGTACTCAAGAAGTTCATGAAAGTTACTCTCCAGTGACGATATTCCAGTTTGGCGTCAAATGCATTGACGTCAATAAGTTTCTCCAGAGTAAATTAGCCATTTTCAAAATGGTTAACAATGAGATTTCATTAAATTGTAGTAGAATTGTTTGAGACAATATGATTTTGCTTAACATTGAGCATGTTCAATAGTTAAAATTTACCCAGCCCCCACAAATGCAGGATCGGGTACATTTCTTGTCTGTTTTTCTCATCCGAGTCTCTCTCTGTAACTTAGGATAAGTCATGAATTCACTTTCCTCCAGCTCTAGAGTAAATAGCTGGGCTTTGTGTGGCAGCTAGTTTAGAAGAAAGTCTGAATTCAAATCTGAGGAGGGCTGTTTGTGCATTTCATGAGTGACATAATGTGCACTATTTCTCTATTATAAATTCTTTTCAAAAGTGTGGCTACTCCAACATTAGCCTTTATTGCTATAATTATCTGTGTGAATAGACTATCAGTTCAGTTCTAAGATGTAATGCTGGGCCCTTATATATATTAAAATTAATGGCTGACACCACACACACACACACACTCATGGTTGATTTGTCAGGAGGAAGACTTCCTGATGTTAACATTGTGAGTGAAATTGGGTAAACTGTACCCTTGGGGGCTGTCAATAGCTGTGCTAGCACAGTCACAAGTCATCTTGACCTAGGGTTTAAGCATGCTGCCCTTGATCGGATTGTTGATCACACTAGATAACATGCTCTTTCCCGGAAACTGTAACTAAGGTCTGCTCAGCATGGTTGCAGTATAAACTGCAGGTGGGCTCTGTGGGTAAGCAAGCAATTGCAATAGGGATTGGATAGCCACCCTAGTAGAGGGGTATGTTAGAATATTAGTGGCCATCCATTCATATATATAATATATATATATCCCTACATAACCACTCAAATAAAAATTTACAATAAGTGTACCAGAAATGATAAGCAACAGAAAAAATAAAAAAAAAACAAAAGAAAATGTTGGTCACATAAGTAGACTTGTTATTGTTTTTTTTCTTCTCTTAGTTATAATTGCCTGGTTTACACCGTCAAGGACAGAAGAGAAAAAAAAAAAAAATCATTTCTTGTGATTTTACATCTGGAAAAGACTGTCGTGATAACAGCGACTATAATAAAAAGAATGAGACAATCTGAAAATCTCTTTGTATGAAATATGTTTTCTAAGTATAAGCTGTATATATTTTTAGGCATATATATATATATATATATATATATATATATATATATATATATATATATAGAATAAATCCTAGTGAGCAAGGCAAACCTAACTAGGTTTCACCTAAACGGATCAGATCCATTTAGGTGAAACCTAGGTAGGATTGCCTGGCTCGTTAGGATTTATTCTAATTTACCGCTCTACTTATCATATTGAGCTCTCTGTTTTCATTGTTTTTATACTAACTTGGGTTTTTTTCTTTGGACCAAGGAATTGAGACACTTGACGATTTTTTTTACCTTGTTCTGATGTTTTTGGTTCTTTTTTTTTTTTTTTTTTTTTTAATTCCAATTTTTTCCTCAGGTACCAAGTTGAGTCATCCAAGGTTTTTCAAGCGAGTAATACTGTTTATTTTATATATATATATATATATATATATATATATATTTCTCAAAATGTCTGTGTGTGATCAGATGTTGTTTGTCTTTCCACAGTTTTCATGCAATTTTGATGAAAATTTTTTTTTTTTTTTGTTTGATAGATAATTCTTCAGTGCCAGTTATGAGTACAAATTAGCTGGAAAAAAATTATGACCTTGTAGGTGAAAAATTGGAAAAACTGATTTTCTTTTTTCTTTTTCTTTTTCTTTTTTTTTTTTTCTTTTTTTTTTTTTTTTTTTTTTTTACACTTTGCGCAAAAAATCAAAGGCAAAATTTAATGTCTATAAAAAACACCATACAACCAGTTTAGAGAGTTGAAATCTAATGCAAAAGATTATTAAATTATAAAAAAAAAAAAAATATCGTATATTATTATTATAACGGTCTTTGGTAGAGGTTCCTTCCTTGCAAGATTGAGAACACAAAAACGGACATTTTCAGGGCCACCCCTCTTCAAATTGTTAAAAACTCCCCCCCACCATTTGGAGATTTTCCTCAGTTTCACCCAATTGTTGTTACTAATATTGATTTTCAGGTGGCCTGACTTTAAACTTAAACTGCTCCAAATGAACGGCAAAAATTTCCAGTAATGAAACACCCAGTCAAAGACGGGTTATACTGATAGTAGTGTGTGTGTATATATATATATATATATATATATATATATAATTAAATATTAACTTTTTGCTGTTTTGTCACAAAGAAAAATGCAACTCTGCTATACATGGAGCATGTGACAAATGAAATTTTAAGGAGACACTCACAATCATAAAGAAACAATCAAAATGTTTGGGACACATAATGAAAAAAGAAGTATTAGAGAATGTAACACTCACAAGGCACATGTCAAGATAAGTAGAGGAAAGCAGTCAGAAAGCTACTTGACAAGTTTGAATCACTGGATGAAATGACAAGTGAAACAAAATGTTTATAAAGGAGCAAGTGTTGCTGAGAGTAACAAAAGACAGTATGCTGTGGAGAGCCTTAATCCCCCATGACCTGAAATTACATAGTACATTAAAGAAAAAAAGAGAAATTCTCTTTGTATTATGATTTCTTTGGCATGTGCAAAACCTCCAACATCCTCAGCAATTATTTATTTTTTGAAAAGGCTCTATATTTTAAATTAAAAATTCTGGAAACTTTTGCACATACTTATTTATTTTTTAATTTGTACCTGCAATATTTATCTGTAGAAGTGTGATCTAAAATTTAAATATGCTTCAGAATCTAAAGAAACATAATAAATTATTTTTGACTTGATATGCATTTTCATAAATATATAAACTTTTATACATTCGTATAACATATTTTTCTTTACTTATATTGCAGGTATCTGACAAAGTGCAGACTTTTTTTTTAGTGTACTATATACCTACACTGAACACCTGTGACCAGCAAATGTGCTTGGACTACCAAGAATGTGTAACCTCTACCACCTGCACCCACCTCCAATATATGCTTGCCCTTCCCCTGGTTCAGCAACGATGTTACACTGCCGGCCAGCCATTCTTGTTACACGACTGAGCACTTTTCAATGCAGGAAGGTTAAAAAATGAAATACAAACCCTCCTCCTGCTAAAAATCAATAAGATGAAAGACAAAAAAAAAATACAAGGAAACAAATCTTCATTTGCTCTCTACAATCAAGGAAATGGCATATATTGAAAATAGTTACATTTGAAAGCATAAGCATATTGTATTTTTCCTGCAGTTGACCTTTCTATTGATTCTTTGCTAATCGACTGAATCTTAGAAACGGATTCAGCAAATCAACTGATTTTTTTTTTCGTCTTTTCTTTGGTATTTTCACTTGAATCTTCAGTGTCATCACTGAGCTGTCTCACAAATACTGACACTAGACTTTTTCGAGAGCATCTTTTAAAAAGACCGTATTTTTCTTTATATCTTACTGTATTACAACTTCTATTCTCTTCTCGGCTTGCATAGCCATTGTTACTACTGCTATATTCATCAATGAAGCTGCCTTTTTCTATCCTGCACAAATGATGAAGCTATAAACAATGTTTTTTATTACATTTGATAAAAACAAACCCAGAGTTAAAACTGCTGCTGCTGGTACTACCAATACCACTGTTCATGCAGTTACTGCCGTTACTATTACTGCTGCTATAATGCCTGAAAGTAAAGCTGGAATAAACCGATGATGAAGGCATGAACTCTGATTTTTTTCTCCATAATGATGAAAAAGACTATGATTTAAAAGTTAATTATCAAGGCCATTTTTAGTGGCAATTTCTGTGGAGTAGTTAGATTTCTTAGATAATTATACACTGCCTATGAGGATTTTCTTAAGGACTTGTCCAAGAGGACACACCTGCTGTCTTTCTACATCTATTGCCTTACCAGCCTCTGCATCACTTACTGCTGCTGCTGCTGCTGTATGTGATCATCTTCCTACTCGCTGATGTATGTTCATGTCTTTATAATTCAACACTTTGTCAAATAAGCTACCAGAATTTAAGTGGGGGGGAAATAGGTACAGGAATTTTTTTTTTTTTTAATTTAAAATACAAAGGTCTACAGAAACGCAGATAAGTGAATATGGCTGATAATTACGATTCAGAAAATACAAATTTGGTGAGTTCACCGTCCAAGAAGGAAAAGAAAAAACCTGATTGGAGTCGTTTTGGACTTAGCCAGGAACAGGCAAAGGCTTCTGAGACATCATTAAACACTTTCTCAGTTGACAAGAATGAAGCACTTTATCAACACACAGATGGAGGTAAACATAATGAATTGTTTACTGAGGATCTGGTAAGTAAATATATTCCTACCATTGTCATAAGCTTAATAAAAATAAAAAAAAATGTCAAATAAACATGTTTGAAAGTAACATTTCTCTAAAAAAAAAAAAAAATTTCTTCAGGTTATCCATCTGTCCATATAGCTACAAATAGAATGAAATAAATAAGAGAGTAACAGATAAAAACAGAATAAGCTAGATAGATATGAGGGGGTGCTGAAAAGTTTTTGGTTTTAACTACTTCCCCAATTTGCAAAGCTTTTTTTTTTTTTTTTTTTTTTTTTGTTTTTCATTCTCTAAGGGCGTCTTGGATGGGCTGAAAACCTTTCAGCAGCATGTTGTAGACATATGAACATATTGAAATGGACAGGGAAAAAAATTAAGACATTAACACGTGAAGATAATTATAGACTAGGAAAAGACAGATGGATAATCACTGACAAACAGATACCTCATATATATATATATATATATATATATATATAATATATATATTATCTGTGTGTATGTGTGTGCATACTTAACAGCTGGTAAGCATCTCTAGAAAAACACGTTTTCTTGATTTAACCAAACAGAAAACCTTTTTTTATTTTCCAAACTCACCATATGTTTGTGTTATGATAAGTTTAACACTTACAATAAAGCACTGTATGCAACTGAGACTGCCATTTCAAATTCTTCTATTATTTTTCTTGATATCTTTTCTGTCATCTTGAAAACAAAATCATTAATCTATTTGAGACTAGAAGAATTCTTATACTGTATTATATAGTTCCTGGTTATTTGTGCCCAACCTGTTAAGTGGCATGCTGGAGTTTATTGTCTGCTCCAATTCAGAATCATTCTCATTTTTTCTTCTTAGCTACTTTATTCCCATCAATTTATTTATTTATTTATTTATTTTTTTTTTTTTTTTTTTTTTTTTTTTTTTTTTACACAAAAAATTAGTTGATAATTTAGAATTATCTTTTTTCTCATTGTGTAGCATTTTATTTCACATCTTAAAATTATTTAATTTAAGAAATAAGTTCATTAAACATATGCTATATATATTATTGAAAAGGTCATACAAATTTAAGTATTGGAACCAAATTAATTTGTCTTTTTCTACTTTGCATATAAAAAATCGGAAAAGAACATATGTTGCATCTTGATCTGTTACACAGCCAAGAAAGATTTTTATTCATATTCAAGTGAATAGCTTTCACTTTTATATTTGTTTAAGTTATGAGACAAATGGAATTTAATGAACAAAGATTAATGATAATCTGAAATCCATTCTTAGGATATAGCTACTTTAGTAATTACACGCGTGTGCGCATCTATAAAGTCATTTTATTGGGAAAAAGAATAAAAGAATTTTATCTTCCCTTTACCTACTAAAAACAAAAAAAAAAAATGAAGCTGCTGTAATATCATCTTACCATATGGCCAAACAACACACCTGTTTAATGATAATGGTAAGCTTAGCCGTTTCCCTACAGGAAACATTTCACATTCATTAAACAAAGTTATTGTCAGTTGAAATTTATAAAATTTTTCTATTGAAACAGTTTTTCAAGAAAATAAATTTCTCAAATCCACTGTTACTACTCTTTCTAGTATTCATGGAAGTTTCCTTCCTAAATTTTTAAGGTAATCTGAAAAGTCAACATCATGATTATCTGATTATTATACCATAAAGATATATATGCTGTCCATTTTAATTATTGTGGTTTTTGGAAGTATTCAAGTGATATAGTTTTTTTTTTTTTTTTTTTTTTTATTTGGTAAAGTTCTGTTTTTTTAGAGTTCTGATGATGTGCTGTACATGAAATACATTTTTGATTACAATTTATTGATCCTAATATCACCCAATTGTTTCAGATGTGATTTTTTTTTTTTCAGCAATCATTATTCTATTCTCTTCTGGTTATTGCACTTGACAACCCATAACCAATAAATATTATTTGTTTGATCTGAAGATCTCTCGGTTGTATCCATAGGCAATTGAGCTATCATCAAGCACAATTTCTGTTTAAATTCTCTTTTAGAAGTTGGGTGGGTATTTAGGTTTCAGTTCATACCATATGGGATACAAATACATTTCAAATACTTGAAAATTTCTAAGTTTGGGTCTATTTTATGATTAGGAATGCTGTTATTATCCTGCAGTTCAATATTTATATGGGTTATGAAATGGCATCTATGTTCTGTGTCCCTTCAGGATCCCCTTACTGTAAATGTTGCAGAAGTCTGGCGAGACGACACATCCTTGTCTTAAATACTTTTCTATTTTTTGTATATTTACTGAAATGACATCACTTCCTCATACTCTGTAATTTTGTTAGAGATTGCAAAATTATAATCAGGAGCATGATATGATCATTACACAATACCAGGTCTCCTTTGGGCAATATGTAGCCCTTATCGCGTTCTCTATCTTCTCTCTCTTTTGTGTCTCACTTTCACTCTCAGAGAGCTAAATGAGAACAAATTATAAAGATATCAAAAAGGTTTTAGAAGCAACTTTTATTAAAGATCTTAATACAGTTGTTTATTAATAAAAAATGAAATTGTGGAAAGGGAATTTTTGAAAAATGGGATATTTGTGCATATAAATAAAAGGTTATTTACACTATTTACATTGTTTAGACTGCTGTCCTCATCTTTGTTGCCAAATTCACAATGTTTCAGTCATTGTATGCTCCGGCCTTCTTCAGGTTATACTTGTTGGAATTTCAAACTGAACACTTTTACTCCACTGATTTAACTGAAACTAAGATATCCAAAGGCATGGCATGTGGAATTAGAACAATGTTCTCCTGTGGACTAAATAATGGGTTTGATTTGAAATTCCAACAAATATCACCTGAAGAAGACTGGATTGTACAAGGTCCAAAATGTCATGAATATAGCAATATACAGATAAAGGTTGTGGAACATTTTGAACCTTTTAAGAATTTGCTTTGTAAAACAAAACAAAAAAAAAAAAACATACACTAAGAATATTGTTTTTAAACTAGTCTCCTCAAATAATTTTTTTTTTTCATTAAAAAGCTTAATTACCGTAATTGCAACTAGTACAAATTAGATTCACCAATGATTTTGCTGAACCTGTCGATGTGTGTGTATATATATATATATATATATATATGTATATATATATATATGCCAATTCAGCCAGGTTTTGATCCTAGCCCTAGCTTGAGGCAACCAGACATCTAGCCACATTGATGAGCTGTGATACAGTGAAACAGTCTCTGTGGATGACAATATATATACTTAATTTTTTCTTTCTTTTATACAAGAGTGTACCTACGTCATCAAAAATGATGGCAATTGTTAGAAAATTTTAGTAGTGAGATGCAATAAAACAAAAATCTTGAAACAATGTACTTAGATTTATTAACATGGAGATAAAGAATTCACAATTAAAATAGAAGCCAATGAACAATTTAATTAATCATTTCCCTTTATCTTTTTTAGACCATCATTAGTATGTACGATTCATTGATTACTCCTGGTATTATATAAACTGATTTTTGCTCAATATCTTTTCATGTTGAAAATGTTATGTGTTTAATAACAAAGTGAAATGAAAATATCTCTTGGAAGAAAAAGATTAGCATCAGAATGACAAAGATGGCGATGACAAAGCCTATTTCAAAACCAAGTTGGAGCAAGACGATCACTTTATGGACAAAGCTATCCAAGTGCCTCACATGAAAGGCTTTATCAAATAAGGCTACAATTTAAGAAATGTAGGAGTAAAGGAACTAACTAACTAATTAATTAAATGATTCATACTGGGAAATAATTTTATCTAAATGCAGATAAATATTTTATGTGTATATATTATTAAAATAACTAAGAAGTAATCACTCATCCATTTACTAACAAGTTAATTTACCTCCCTTTCCACTACAGATAAGACAGGAAATATATAAATATGCACATTGATAATGACATGACTGATGAGGCAAATTTTTTCCCTGCAATAGGTTGCCATTTCTTTCTGCAGTAGACCAGTTGCCATCCAAGGCTATAGAACCTGGCCTGTCCTGCTATTTACTCATAGCTGGTGGGGAAGAAGATGATTCATACCTTTCCCAAGTGTATTAGCATGTAAGTGAATGTAATGGATTTGACAGGAATTTGAACCCAGCTCTCCGATTCCTCAATCCAAACCGCTATCCATTACTCCACTGTGCCTCCTTGCAATTTTACTGTTTCCAATAAGAGGTTTTTAAATTTTCTGAAATCTTGTGCTTGTGTGTAATATGACCTCCCTTTTTTTGTTTTTAATTTTCATTAAAAAATTCTTGTATTATGCACAAGAAAATATGGTAAGTATTTAGTAATAAAATAGAAAACTAAAAAAGCACTTAAGGAAAATTGGAATTAAGACCAATATTGTAGACCTCCAGAAAACTGCCATCATGTATGCTGAGGATTCTCTGAAAAGTTTTTGAGCTGTAAGGAGTCTTGTTGACATACTTCAACAATAGAATTTCCATTATTTCCATTATTCGGACTATTGTCCTCATCTTTGTTGCCATATTTATTACAATGTTTCAGCTGTTGTATGCTCCAGCCTTCTTCAGGTGGTTGGAATGTCAAACTGAACCCTTTATTTCACTCACTGGGGTAGACTGTTCTAGTTCCACATGCCGTGTTTAATGGATGTCAGTTATCAGTTATCTCCTGTTAATTTCCCTCTCCAAGTTCTCCACTGCCTTAGCCGGGTATCGAACTTACACTCTTTGGGTGCTGTCACTGGATCTAACTAATGCCTTTATCCACTGTGCAGTGTACATAATACCTCATCTCAGAAATATAGACAGAATAGAATTTCCATTGGGTATATTAATATTTTGAAAACAAAATTAAAATTAATTTAATTTCTGTCATCACTTATGTGGGTGTAAAACATAAACAGAAAATCTGTTTCAGTTGACAAAAACAGTCCAATTTCATAACATTTTGGAAATAGGGCATTGATTTTCTGGTTAATATTTTTGGACATACC